CACCCACACGACTTCCCTCCCACACCTGCTTTGCAGCACATGCGCACGTCTGTCGGAACTCACTCTCCGTTCGAACTGTGTGCACATACACACACCACCGTGCCAGTTCGGAGCTGCTTTCTGCTCTTCTGACCGATAATAAGTTTTGCCACTTCTGCTGGCAAAACTTTATTGCATGCTCTTCTTTTAACGTGAAAGTGGCTAATCAGAGCTATATTTACAGAAAAGAAATTACCTGCACACACAAGCCACACAAGCACCTTTTTGTACTCACTGGCTTTTATTATGGCAGCTCAACCTACCATGCTACTCCTCTGTGTCCCTCCCCCTGCTCCCTGTCTCCCTCTCTAGGTGCCTTCATTCAGCCGGGCTGTGTGCAGGCTTTAGCTGTTGCAGGGAAATCATCACTGGCTTTTGGGATGACACGCGCCTAAAAAGGACGTTCCAAATTAATGTTGGGGAAATCCGGCGGTATTAAGATTGCTTGTAATCTGGTTTTAATGGTGTGGGCAAGGTCCACCGGCCGTTTTTTAATAGAGTTTGTAAGCATGGAAAAAGCCCGCTGACCACATAAGCCAAGTTCGTTTCCCTATTTAAGCGACGTTCATGTTTATTTGAACTTGCTCTCAAGCAGAAATGGCCTGAACAGATTGTCAAAGGTATATATAAAAAAAAAAGGTGGGCTTATTTATATGGAAATGTCAGTCTTATGCGACAGCTGGAGGCTTCTAGGTTTGATTAAATTACTTCTGCGCATTGGTTACCACTGAAAATAGATGAAAGGGAAGCGTATTTATATGTCCTTGGTATTTTCATGCTGCGCTCATCTGCATGAAAATGAATTGGCTTGTTTTTGCCGCTGACATAAACAGCAATTTTCCACCGTGGAAATAAGGAGATTGTCAGAGTGATTTATTGCTATTTTTTTATACCCAGAGAAATGATTTACCATGTTTTCACATTGCATCCGTTCTTTCTGTCAACTGCACATTAAATGAATTCCTGGCCTCCGTCTAGAGAGACATCCACATTTATCCCACAAAATAATTTCCATCTGATCGGCTCTGAATCGATTCTGTCTCACCTCGTACCGGTGCTGAAGTCCCAGGTACAAGCCAATTGCGGACGCAGCACAGCTTTCTCACTTCTGTTTTTGACCCTGACACTAACCTGTAGTTTCAGATTTGCCTCACGGGCAGGAGGAGGCATATGTCAGGCGTCGCCAATTCTCTCTCAAAAGAGCAAATTTCATTCAAGATTTAAGCCCTCGCTCAAGATAAATCTTTAATTTCTAGTCCATGCTTAAGCTGTTTTTTCTCCTTGAAAGTGTTTCTTATAATTGGCTACAAAGAGCTGTATTTTTGTGTTTGCCAGCCTTTTTTTTTTTTTTTTTTGGTCTTTCTTTTTGTTAACCTACGGAGCAGAAGAAATCCGTAGGAAATTCCTCGACTCAAGCGTGCGCTTTGTTTGGAGAAGATCCATTTTGACATTTCCTGAGCAAACTTCTGCTATTTATAGTCCAATATTATGATCGGAGTCCAGGGAAGCAGATCCAGGAGTGGGCCTTTAGCCCTGCCACTGTTGGTACGAGGCATTGTCCTCGAACATCCCACGCGCACGTCGTCGGCCGAGCGCGTGCACACGTGCACTTTTCCTTCACACTTGACAGCGTGAGTCACAGCCCTCTACGTCACATCCCCAAAATAGCAGGGCCCGAGGCTGGGTGGGGGTGACAGGCGTGGGTCAGCGACACTGGCTTTGTGCGTGCATCTGTAAGGAAAAGGGTAGCTTCCTCTCCGGGCCGGCCCCGCACAATGGCTTCTGAGGAGGTCAGGGCTGGCTGCGACCAGAGTGATGAAGAGGGAGGGAGGAGGCTGAGTCGTGCCGGGTACTTTTTTCGAAGAAAATAAATCAAACGCTGGCTCCCAGCTACAATAAGTTGTGATGCTTTTATTTCTGTCCTTTTTAAAGGAGTTGTAATCAACACGGCTCTGACACCCTGTGGAATAGTGGCTCTTTTTTTTTTTTTTCCTCTTAGAATGCTTGTCACAGCCTTATTGACTGACCCCCCCTCCCACTCTCTCTCCTCCTCTCTCTGTCTGTGCTCTGCAGTATCTGGGCCACGTGGAGGTGGAGGAGTCCAGAGGCATGCACATCTGCGAGGAAGCCGTGAAGCGGCTTAAGACGGTAGGTTACACCAGAAACCCCCCCCCTCCCTCCTCCCTCCAACCACCACCAGCCCCCACTCTCTGTACCTCCAGGAACAAGGGCAGACATCCCAGCTCCTCTCTTGTCCGTGCTTTATCTTATCACGCCCTCCAGAAATGTCCCCGTCTGTCTCACCAACGCCCCGCTGAAGTTTTCTAACATCTACCCCGCCACAGCCCTCCCTCATCCACCAGCATCGTTTTTTTTTTTAATCAATTAATTTTCTCTTCAACTGACCCCTTCTGGGTTTTGTTCAGGGGGCTGGGGCAGAGAAATCGGCCCCCGTGTGCTTCCTGCTGCAGCACAATCCACCGGAGTTGGGCAGAAAAGGGCAAATTCCAGTTTGGGGAGCAGGGGGGGAGGGGAAGCGGATCCTCCTATGTGTTGTCCGTTGTTTGCCAGGGCCCCACCCAGGACATGAACTCCTGTGAGTGAGAGAAGCCGACATTTTTCCTGAAGTCAGGACCGGACCCGAGTCTGTCTGTCTGCGGGGGAGCATTAGCTCACTGCGTCCCCGTCAAACCCGATTCCCCCGCCGCGCATGACGAAAACCGTGCTTTTTGGTTTGCCGTCGGGTTTTGCTTTCAGTTGGGGATGACTCACACTAATAGAATATTCACACCCTGGTTGCTCCTGTTCTCAGTGTCCGAGTTATGAATCTTGCAGCTGTGTAAAAAGGGGCTTTTACTCCTGTTGCACATGCAGCGCTGAAGACCACTTGAGCCGTTGGTTCAGAGCGTCACCACGAGGGATTTTAATATTTTACGAGTGTGTTTTGCAAACGGCAAACTCCTTTCATGCCATTAACGCTCAGCAGCCGCCCCAGTCTGTTCGCTCGGCCACAAAGATACAGAAGAACTCCATCCATCTGCCCATAGATGCTGTAAGAACATTTCCCTGGAAAGTACAGTATGTCTGACTTGTAAACTTTAACCCGCACGAACCAGTTCCCTCATCCCCCGAAGTGACTCGTCTTACAGGAAGAGCCAGAAAGGATCGGCTCCGAGAAGCCGAGGTTTGATTCCAGTGAAAGGGACCATGTGGTCGCAGGCTATTTCCTCTTCCCGCTCTTACAGAATTTGGTCCCGTAGCCGCATGTTTCACCCTCAGATCACACAGGAGGTTTGCAATGGCTTTGGAAAGATAGATTAAAAACATAGAGGAAGAAAAAGTATTAATATTCTAGTTGTAACACGGAGCGCTGAAGCTCTGAGCCGTGGAGCAGTTACAAATGAGTCAAGGTGTTCTGTGTCACCCTGCCCCAGTGCCTTACGCAGTCGGGCCATTCTGACAATAATGCCGTCCCCTGGTGCTCGGCTCATGGTGACGCAGCTTTGGAAAAAAAAAAAAAAAAAGGCCAACTAAATCACTCAGGAGTTCTGGTGGATTATTTGAATCATACATCTACGGCCCTGTCTCAGCTGGTTATAGTTGTCAAAGCAAAGTAAAAACGGACCAGTTCAGGGCAACGCCCTCCCCCTGCTAAATATGGCTATTACCAAGGCCTCCATAGATCCCAGTTCTCTCTCATTGAGTCACCGATAAAGGGACCATTTGCCTGGTAGTGAATACCGTCCGCACTAGACGAGAACACTGCTTTAAACTTCACACTTCCCGGAGCTGAAGGCTAAATGCGGCGCCCGGGCTTAACCCCACCTCGTTCCCAGCGGCCTCCGGGGCGGTAATGAGAGTTTAATCGCAACTCTGCGACCCCCGTGACTCAGAGAAGTGGCCGGAGGAGGCCGCACTGCGGCAGCGTCAACCTCCAAGCCGTCCTTCTGGTGCTGGCACCACCGCACCACCGCTTCCCCAGGCCTGATTGGCAGGTGGCCCCGGGGCAGAGGAGCGCCCTGGGTCTCAGCCACGGGGAGTGTGGGAGTGTGTTTTTATCCCCTGCTGCTCGGGAAGCTCACAGCGACCTGGGTGAGGTGGCCCGCTCGGAGATGATGACAGCCTCAAAGAATGTCAGCTGCCGCACGGGTGCTTCCAGGAGAGAGCGGAGCCTCCAGCTTTGGCAGACGCTGTCTCTCTCGGGCCGGAGGGGGAAATCCTGCGAGGTGTGATGAGCGCTTGCACAGAAGCGGGCCGGCGGCAGGCGTTGCGCAACGCGCCGACTTTGTTGTCGCTGCGTACTCTGCCAGAGGTTCCAGTTGTTTAGAAAGCCGAGTCCCCGAGAGCCCCGCAGGCCTCTGACCGGGCTCTCAAGGGGAAACTAATCAGGCTAAAAGAAGTAAGAAGTAACAAGTAAGTTTCCTCTTTCACCGGTGTTTACTGGACCTCACCGGCTCATCCTTTATCCATCAAATCTCCGCAGAGACAGTGCCCCCCCCCCCCCACACCCCACAGCGTCTTCTCAGCCTGTGCACTGAAAACTTGTTTGTTGTATGACCTTTTTGCCAGTGTTATACTTTATTTTTCTTGTCTTTTTAAGCAGGTTGTTATTGCAGAGAAATGCCATCAAACTCCACCCTTCCATGCTGCTTTTTTAGCCCCCCCCCCTTCCCCCCGCCTGCTCTCACCGTAGCTTACTAACAGCGCTGAGCAGACCTTTTCCATCATCTGCATGTCTGCGGTGTTGTAAACACACACAAACACACTAACAGGCGTTTGGAGATGTGTCTGTGGTGCCGGTTAACATGTTAAATCATGCATTAACACGGCGCCGGGAGTGCCACCTCCTCCTCGGCTGCGTAACAGGAGCAGAGTGGTACTCCTTTTTCACAGCTTACAGGAGCTCACAGGAGTTCCTTTTTTTTTTTGTAGCGTGGTAAACTTGACCCCTACTTCTGGCCGATCAGTGAACTGTCACAGGCTTGACCCAGAGGTCAATCTTCCCATCTGTGGGAATCCGCTTCAGACACTGAAGGGTCGTATCTCGGGGTCTAGTAGGGGG